TATTTTCTATTTCAGATTTAAAAGATTTTGTATAAAGCCAGTATTACTCTGACGACAATGTCTTTTCGTGTGTATATGCACAATATATCTTTCATCCGTTTTCTTAAGCCGGCATCTCTATAAGCAACAGGTTAACGTTACATTGCTTTCGATTAACATATCATCCAGCTTGTCGACCGTTTTTGAAATCTCGCAGCTTATCGTGCGGCTTATCGTGACACACTTTCCCGCGCTCTCTCGAGAACATTAGCAACGTTTGTAGCTGATGAATACTTTTTATCGACGAGGAAGTTGTTTTAAAAACACATGAGCGTTTATTTAGATGTAATCCCAAACTTGTTAAGCGAAAATTCTTTTCCTCATTCAAGAAGAGAACCAAAAATATATTCAGAACTGCGAATGAAGGTAACATCTGGTTCGTTGTATAGCCTTAGAACTTTCGATTTTTTTCAACATGGATTCCGGTCGAAAGAAAGACGACGTGTGAATTTCCGATAGTTTTCCCCTAAATTCATGGAAAATTAATCATCTTTTTTTATTTATTTATTTATTGAATAATGTTTCAAATCGGCTTCTGTCATTTAAAAGTAAATGTAGATGTATTAACGTACACGCGAAGAGATGTGTGTTCATGGCTCTTTACGACTTCCTCTCTTTGGTAGAGATTTCACACTTTTGAACTATTAACATCCCTCTTTTTGTCCATGTTATATCATCCATTCATACAAGTTCGTTACGTAGGTCACTCGCTGTTTCCACATGCTCTAAGTCCTCTCCCGTTTGTCATGTGAGTGTCAAATTCTCTAGGCTCGCTGTTCTCATTATGTGTCCCCAAAATTTAAATTTATCATTTTTTGATTGCATGTTTCCTTGTTGCTTCTATGTTCATTAAAGCTTCTTCGTGACACCCATTACCTATTCATAGTGTACATGTACAGTGGTGTTCTATACTACAGGCCTACTCATGTGCAACTAAGAGACTTACTATTTTGTGTTCATTGCAAAAAAAATGTTTTTATACCAACTTCACAAAAAAATTAACTTAGTTAATATTAGTCAAGTCATTTGAAGTTAATTTAATATTTTTCCTTTTAAGTTACTATTATAGTTCTTAATACCGTAATATAATTTTCATACGGTAGAATTAAAGTAAAAACTGAAGGTCCATGTAAGGCAGGATGCTTTACCTAAAAAAGACATCATTTTACTTGATTCCCAGAAATAAATTATTAATCCATTTTTTCTAGTAAATCATAACAAACACTCTCCACAGAAAGTTAATAATATTTTTATTCTGTTCAATTTTTAACAGACTTTTCTTCCGAAGGCATTTTTCTCGAATCAGTTTTTACACTGCGAAATTTATTTAAAAATGTCATTATTTGCCACAGAGAGTTAATTTAATACTGTTCTCTAGATCATTGTTATTCATAGCAACAAATATATTGATGATTAAATTTTATTCATAATTTGTTTTTTTTCTTTCCAAAATGTGTTAAAACGTTTGTTGAATTTTAGTTTATTTTACTATTAAAAACAAAGCAAGTGTAATATTTTTACACTACAAAATTAATGAAAATGTAATTTATTAAGAATTTTGTTTACTTTTTAGCTTTTCTCCTAAAATTTCCAGAATTCAAACAATTTTAAATAAGCCTCCAGTTCTGTCACTTAATTGCATCATGATTTGGTTGGTTGAATTCGTTTAGCGGTATATCAACACCTCTATGGGTTATTTAATGCCGAAATCTAAATATTTTGAACATAATTTTATGGCTTCAGCTAAATATAGTTTCGACGCAATTTTATGCCTTCATCTACAGATAAAATGTATTGTTGGTAATTCTTCTATAAAATGTATGGCTGCTTATTTTGCTTTAAAGATATATTGTTGGAAATCTTTTAATAAAAATATATATTGCTGGTATTTTTATTATAACAATGTATTTTTATGCTTTGATAGTGCTTTGTTTTTGTTTCGCATTCACCATTTGTCCATACTTGGGACCCTAACAAGTGCCACCAACCCGTGTTGCATCATGAGTATGCCTGTAGTATAGAACGTCGTGAAACTCACTCACATACTTTCATTTTATATATGTGCGTTTGTTCATATTTGCTTATGGTGAGTAAAGTTAAATATTCGAACACTGGTTTCTCATCAATACACAAGGCGAGAACGTTTAACAATCATTAATATGAAGAAAAACAGTGTTAGTCAATACAAAGATCAATATCATAAGCCCATGCTCGGCTTCCAGGATGATCTTTATGGATCCTCGGAAGCAACTGCGTGCCCGGATCAGATAATTCTCGTGCCACATTCGCGACATCAGATGGGGTTAGATGTCTGTTTGCATATTTGACGACCATTGTCTGTCTTCTGTAATAGAACGAGTCTGTTACGTCGCTACGTTGGTTCCGACAGTTTTCTTGATAAAGTGAACTGCCACTCCTAATGGAAATTAAGTTAGGCGTATTTTTACCAGGAAAAAAAATCTTTTAATCTTAAATAGCACAACGCATATGGTCTGTATTCAGCAATATTATTGGCCATGACCTGGCATCTTGGCTTCAGTTACTTTCCCACTGACGTGATGTAACCTCTCTCCGCTTTTTGTATAAAAACTTCCATGGTAATTGTTCTGATGAACTTCGCGCTATGGTACCTAGACTTTATGAATTTAAGTGCAATACTAGATTGGCTGCTAGGTCTCATCATTTTACAGTTGAAATGACTAAATGTAAACATAAGTTCTATGCTAACAGTTTCTTCTCGCACTTCTTTCTTATGGAACTCTCTTCCGGCTTCTTGAGTCAATTTTATTCTTTAAAAAGTTAAATGCAATGTCAATCGTTATCTTCTGTCTTCTTAATTCTTGTTCTTTTATTTTCCTTTCTCTTGAATAGTCCTTTTTCTCCTCATATTCTCTAACACTCAGTAACCCCTTGCATCCGAGTGACATTGTTACCTTGCTTGGAGTGAAATTATTAAAAAAAAATGTAAATTGACTATTTTATTGTCCCTATTATGGTAATTATACCGACTACTTTTCAGTGAAGGAAAGAGTTTTCAGTAAAGGAGCGTTAGTGCATGTGTGTGTGTGTGTGTGTGTGCGTGTGCGTATGTGTGCGTGTGTGTGGTAGAGAGAGAGAAAGAGAGAGATACTTTCAACTCCACTATCACTTGGTGGCTCACAAGTAACCCCTCAGTCTAACGATCATTGATAATTTGATAATTCCAGGTCGAATGAAAATGCCCTCAAACACGCCATACTCGTCCACTTTATTTATTTATTCTTGTGAACCGAGGCTTGCAACTTGACACCCATGTGCGACTGTCTCCTGACCCTATCTCATTTTTCTTTCCTCCAAAGAGGATTTTCACATGTTGGCGAATCTTCTTATCCCATAAATATAGTCCACCTTAAGACTATATTTCTTATCCCATGAATATAGTCCACCTTAAGACTATATTTCATCAGGTAACACTTCCAACAAAGAAATGAAAGGAAAAATGGGATTAGAAATTGATGGGTAGTGTAATTTTTGTAATTTAACAGGGAGGGTGATCGTTGTAGTCAACGAGACAAGATATAGTATAGAGAGGGGTAAATTTCATATTTCTCTTAAGCCTGTTTTCTATTGGGATAGGAGAAGTGACCTAATCGTGGCCTATTTAGATGGTTAACTTAACGGAAATGATATATAGGAATGAGAGGCTAGTGGGGGGAACAGAAAAGGAAAATTAATTAAATTACAAAAATTAAACTACCCATCAATTTCTAATCCAATTTTTCCTTTCATTTCGTTGTTGGAAGTGTTACCTGATGATCCGGAGTCCTTCAAAAAGGATTTTGGTGAAATAAATTAGTGTAATGGTTCCTTAAAGTGGTCTGTTTATTTCACTAAATATTAGCTCTGGATTCACATTGAGCTCTCAGGATTTCATCCTCCTTGGAATTACCCATTCGGTTAACCACGTTCTTAGTAACTTAACTATATATATATATATATATATATATATATATATATATATATATATATATATATATAATCCTCCAAAAATATATACATTTCAGGAAAGGAAAAATTTGTATGGATATTGTAATTGTAATACTAAATTTATTCAGATACACGAGATTAATACAAATTATCTGCGGACTCTGCAATCGCAAGAGAAGCTCAAATTAGGGGTCATTTCCTTGCAGGCATTTATTACTACTGCTTGTGCAACGATGGCCAAAGTGCTAGATAGGATTGTTGCACATGCATTTTCAATTTCTTGTCTAAGGGTCGCCATTGTAGTCGGTCTTCTGCAATACACAACATCCTTAAGGATTTGTTGATGCTACACCCATGAGGATGATGCCATCTGTCGCATCAAGAGATGCTTTTAGCTTCCAGATATTTATTTGTACGACAAACTACAGGTTGGGCAAAGTTGGACAAAGTGTCCAGTGAGATTGCTGCACATGTATTTTCGATTTCTTGTCTAAGGGCTGATCATGTCGTCGGTTTCATGTGATACACAACATCATTTAGGACTTGGTGATGCTACACCCACGAGGGGTCACGCCATCTGTCGACAAAATATCGTACTACAGTATACAGTGGTTACGCAATTTGATAAAAGTTTTCCTTTCCAAAATGTGTATATATTTTTGGGTCTGACTCTTCATAAATATATATATATATATATATATATATATATATATATATGTGTGTGTGTGTGTGTGTGTGTGTGTGTGTGTGTGTGTAAATACCTATATTGCCAATTTAAAATATATGAGGAGTTTGTTTTATTTATTTGCGTGTTTGAGAATTAGCTAATATTCAAGCAACATTTAATAACAGGAATTTAATTTATTCTTTTTTGAATTTACGAACATTTTATTAGCAAAGATACGACCACGTATCAGCTTGCCTTTTAATGCACTTATCATTTGAGAAACGACGCGCGTTGAATGCTGGGAAGTAATACACTGACAGATGATTACAGGAATGAATAGATAGATAGATAGATAGATAGATAGATAGATAGATAGATAGAGAATGGAAAGACTGTGATAGATAGATAGATAGATAGATAGATAGATAGATAGATAAGGGAAAGACTGTGATAGTTAGATAGATAGATAGATAGATAGATAAATAGATAGATAGATAGAATGGATGAATGACTGTGATAGATAGATAGATAGATAGATAGATAGATAGATAGATAGATAGATAGATAGATAGAAAGACTGATAGATAGATAGATAGATAGATAGATAGATATGAACAGATAGATATATAGATATATAGATAGATAATGGAAAGACTGTGATAGATAGATAGATAGATAGATAGATGATAGATAGATAGATAGATAATGATAGATAGAGAGATAGATAGATAGATAGATAGATAGATAGATAGATAGATAGATAGATAATGGAAAGACTGTGATAGATAGATAGATAGATAGATAGATAGATAGATAGATAGATAGATAGAAGGAAAGACTATAGATAGATAGATAGATAGATAGATAGATAGATAGATAGATAATGGAAAGATAGATAGATAGATAGATGATAGATAAATAGATAGATAGATTTAGATAGATAGATAGATAGATGGATTAGATAGATAGATAGATATAAAGATAGATAGATAGATAGATAGATAGATAGATAGATAGATAGATAAGGAAAACTTGATAGATAGATAGATTAGATTTTTATAGATTTAGATAGATTCCCGTCAGGGAAAGACTTTCATATTTAGATAGATAGATAGATAGATTTTAGATTTTAGATTAGATAGATTCTTTTATGAACTTTTTTTAGATAGATAGATTTAATGGAAAGACTGTGATTTAGATTTTTATTTCTCTTCTCAGTTCTTTCTTTCTTTCTCTATTTTCATTCATTAATTCATTTATTCTTTCTTTTCTTTCTTTTTTTCTTTTCTATTTCTTTTTTTTCTCTTCCTTCTTTTCTTTCTTTCTTACCCATTCATTAATTCTTTCTTTCTTTCTTTTTATTTTTTTCTTTCTTTGTTTCTTTCTTTCTTTCTTTCTTAGCTCTCCTCGGCCTGTTGACATTTCTTTCTTTCTTTCTTTCTTTCTTTCTTTTTTCTTCCCTATTTCTTTCTTTTGTTTTCTTTCCACTTTTTGTTTGTTTCTTTCTTTACTTAAAGAATTCTCCCTTTCCATCCATCCATCCATCCATCCATCCATTCTTTCTTTCTTTCTTTCTTTCTTTCTTTCTTTCTTTCTTTCTTTCTTTCTTTCTTTCTTTAGTTAGATTTTCCCTTATTTCTTTGTTTCTTCAACTATTTTCTTTTCAACTGTGTTGTTTATTTCTTTCAAGAATGATCGCTTTTCTTTTATTTTTACTGACATCATTTTCTTTGTTTCTTTCTTTCTTCTCTATCTTGTCGCTTCTTTCTTTCTTTCTTTCTTTCTTTCTTTCTTTCTTTCTTTCTTTCTTTCTATTAATTTTATTTTCTCTGTTGTCTTTACCGTTTCCTATTTTTCTCCTTTTAGAAACAGGAAAATACGAACGGATCATTAAAAACAGAATCTTATTCAAAATAAATCCCCAACATTTATCCATAGAAGATGACAATTGTTCATTTGCCATTCATTGGAAATTTATTTCAAAAAATAATTTATCAACTGGACAAATTCCGTCTTTTGGTTGAAGTCGACCGTCTTTTCTCCCCACCCACCTCCACCTGCCAATATTTTATGCATACCATTCACATTGCGTGTTGATCATGAAACATTTCTGACGGAAATAGCTGAGCTTTGACCAACACACGTGACCTTTATTTGCATATTTTTGAATATCATAAACTGTAAATCTTGATTATACGTGGCTTTACTTTTATTAAACGATCTCTTCTTTCTTTCTTTGTTTCTTTCTTTCTTTCTTTCTTCCTTTCTTTCTTTCTTTCTTTCTTTCTTTCTTTCTTTCACGTCCATTTTTCTTATTCTTTTTTCTATTCAAGCTATAGAAACTTTTTTCTTTTTTCTTTCTTTCTTGTTTTCTTTCTTTCTTTCACATCCATTTTTTTCTTTTTTCTACGCAAGCTATAAAACCATTTTCTTTTTTCTTTCTTTCTTGCTTTCTTTCTTACATTTTTTCTTTCTTTCCTTCTTTGTCTTATATTTTCTTTCTTCACTACACTTTCCTTCATTTCTTTCTTTCTTTCTTTCGTTTTCTCTTTGCTTCTGTCTTTCTTTCTTTCAGATCCATTTTCCTTTTTCTTTTACTACTCACGCTATGAAAGAACCTTTTTCTTTCTTTCTTTCTTTCTTTCTTTCTTTCTTTCTTTCTTTGTGTTTCATTTTTCTTTCTTTCTTTCTTTCTTTCTTTCTTTCTTTCTTTGTGTTTCATTTTTATTTCTTCATTACGTTTTCCTTCTTTTTTAGAAAATTTCATTTTTTACTTCTTTCATTGGTTTTCTCTTTCTTCTTTCTTTTTGTCTTTCTTTCTCGTCCATTTTTCTTTTTCTTTTTTCGACTCAACTCATAAAAAACTTTATCTCTTACTTTTTCATTATCTTCTAATTTCTTCGTTTTCTTTGTCGCTTCTCTTTTTCTTCATTTACAGTTATTAGGCTCTTTCTTTCTAGGATTTTTCATTCGACATGTTTCCTTCTTTCTTCCTGGTTTGATTTCTTCCTTCTTTCTTTCCTTTTAACTTATATTAAGTTTTCTTTTCTATTCTTTTCCAATTCTCGAAGACATTTTGCTGCTCGTTTCCACTCTAATTCTTTGTTCCTTCTTTCTACATTCACTCATGTCTTCCCCTCTCTTGCTTCCTCATTCATTCTATTTCATCTCAAATGTGTGTTTACATTTTTCCCATTCTAAATTGACCACCATTTTCTTCATTACATTCTGCTACCTTTATTTCTGTCCCGTGGCATGAATCACATCCATCGTCTTGCCAGAAAAGTTACAAGAAAAGTTTATTTCGAAGTCTTAGACGCATGCAATTAATTTCACGTTGAAAAAGAAGAAGCGGGAAAAGCAGACGGAATTTACCTTAACCGTCTGCAGATGTCGGAAGATCAGTAGATTTAAATGGATTCAAATTTAGTAGAATTAATAAACACATTATGATTGATCTATCTATCTATCTATCTATCTATCTATCTATCTATCTATCTATCTATCTCATTCCGTTCATATCTATCTATGTATTTATCTATTTCAGTCTGCTCATATCTATCTATCTATCTATCTATCTATCTATCTATCTATCTATCTATCTATCTATCTATCTATCTCAGTCTGGTCATATCTATCTATCTATCTATCTATCTATCTATCTATCTATCTATCTATCTATCTATCTATCTCAGCTTCTTCTTTATCTATCTATCTATCTATCTATCTATCTATCTATCTATCTATGTGTGTGTGTGTGTGTGTGTGTCTCTGTATGTGTGTATGCTCGAGCGTGTGTGTGTGATACATAGATACAAATATACTGAGACTGAGATAGATTGATTTAAACATGGTGAAATAGATAGGTTTAAACATGCTTAGTTAGATGTATCTAACAATGTTTAAATCTATCTATCACACACACACAAATATATATATATATATATATATATATATATATATATATATATATATATAGACGGCTGATGAGAGAAATCCGAGAGATAAAAAACAACACAAATTACGAGAAGAGATGTGAGTATTCCCGCTTTGACCCAAGATGAAACCTCAGTGGCTCAATTTTTAATTGAGAGGTGAAAGATTATCAGCCCAAGTGCCGTCAGGAAGAAAATCATCGTATGTTGATAACGGAAAATATTCTTATGGATCGGGGATTCTTGTTTAATAGATGATTGGAACAAAATATCAATATAGCTACGAGAGAGGATTCCGAGTTACCAACAGGACATTGTTATGAAACTCAGCAAGAGGCAGGAGAGGAGAAATCATGTAGAAATCACTGATGCCCGCTTTGGCTTGTCTTATAATTTTTCATTATTCCTTTTCTTCCTTTTTCATTATTCCTTTATATATATATATATATATATATATATATATATATATATATATATATATATATATATGAAAATTTCTCAGAGTTAACCTGTAGAAAAGACAATATTTATAAATATAAATGACAATAGGAAAACTGTATTAGTTGCCGACGTGTTTCGTCCGATGTGGACGTTATTTATTGTAATAAATACAATTATGGCACAAGACCGAAAAAGGGGAGGGGTTGAGGCTGGTCATCACTAACTATCCTATACCTAGCTAATCCGATTCACGACCCATTCACTCATTACAATTTGCCCATTCACCACAAAAACTCGTCCATCACCAATCAATCCTCCATACACCATAATACCGCATCCTCACAAGGGGGTCCTACAAAACGCGCCCTAACCGGTAAAAACTTAATGATAATAAATACTGAAAAATCTGTGATGAAAAATGAGAGGGGTCGGAATGAACCCCAAAACAAACTAAATATAAACACAAAATAAACTAAACATAACTGATGTTAGTAGGGCCCGTCCAACCCTCAAAATGAGAGGCCGCTGTATTCTGCCCATTTGGACAAAATCAAGAAGCTCTCTTGCTAAGGGAGTGGAAAAAGGAGAAAATATAGACGGACATGGGAAAGAAAAAAAAACTGTAGTGTGATAACCTCAATTCTTCATCTGGACTTCGTCAGTCAGATTTTAGCTAATTATCAGAATGGGTGGTCGACTAGCACAACACAGTCGACTGTCGCCTCGAAAAAACAGTTCCATTGTTCTAGTCATTCTTTGGTGCCAATTTCTGATAACATAGTTTTGTTATCACAACCGAAGATGTCTTGTCAAAAAACGGTCAGCCATTACTCAAGGTTGGCCTCGTGTGCAGCTTAGCAGACGACACAGTTAATTTTTCTTATCTATCCAAAGCCCTGTATTTCACCTGTTCTTTGTCAATTATCAAAATAACATTATCAATTGGAGTTTTCTTAGCTAGTCGGTCTGTGGTTTGCTAATTAGATGTTTGCCCGCATTAAGTGACTGTTATCTATCCCCGATAACACAAGTTCGTCGCCAGAACATAGTCGATTCCCTTAACTACTTAGAATTTTTCTGCGAGGGTAATGACACCTTTTCGCCATTTGCTACTTATCAAAATAACATTGTCAATGCCCTTGGTCGTGGGTGGTTTATTTTATCATCTACGCTTAAGTCTCGCCTCTCTTTTCCTTTCTTTCCTTTCTCTTTTTCCTTTCTTTTCTTTTTCTTTTTCTTTTCTTTTCTTTTTTTTTGTCCTGTTAAATGGTGTCACAATTGTATCCACCTCCATTGGTGTGTCTATGTCTTGCAGCTGCTTCCTTTCTTGTTGTTGCTGTTTGTGGTGCTCACGTCTTGGCTGCTGCACTTGTTGCTGCACATTTTTTGGTTGCTGCACCTCTTTGGATTTTTGTGCATCCTTTGCTGATCATACTCCTTGTTTTTTTCCGCTCGCTTCTCTGTTTTTGCTTTGTTTTTTTTTGTTTTTTTTTCGCTTCTTGTTTCTCTCCCATCAAACGTACACAACAACATCCTTTTATCAAAAGAAAATGGTTGAATCCGTCAACACAGCAATATTTACTGTTATGGGACCTTACCCATAAGAACATAATGGACTATTCCACACATAATAAATACTACGCCTCAAGAGAAATCAGAGAGTTCCGTCTGAAGTCTGGAGTTCAGTCTGAAGTCTGGAGTGAAGTCCGTCAGGAGTCAGTCAGTCAAGTCAGAGGCAGTCCAAAACAGAGTCGCGTTCAGACTACTAAACCTGATTGTTCGTACTAACACTTTCTACTTCTCTGTATATATTCCTGTTTGTAATATATCTGTGTTATTCCATACCTGTGTTCGAGTTCTTCTTTATTGGTTCTACCTTGGACTATCAGCGTGGTACAAGGAACCGGACCATAACAATAACAAAATCTCCACACGTGACAGTAATTGACGTAATTTTCAGT